AAACATTAGCTAATGGAGTAATCCTTTATTATTATTATTACTGATATTTTACAGAGAGGAAGGGAGAGGGAGAGAGAGTTAGAAACATCGATGAGAGAGAAACATCTATCAGTGGCCTCCTGCATACCTCCTACTGGGGATGTGCTGGCAACCAAGGTACATGCCCTTGACCGGAAGCGAACCCGGGACCCTTGAGTCCGCAGGCTGACGCTCTATCCACTGAGCCAAACCGGTTCTGGCAGGATATCGTCCTTTTAATTTTTCCTCCACACTCTGACTTTACTTATGTCTCTCACCTTTGCTTTCCTTCCATCCCCCACCCGCAAGAGTAACTTGCTCCAGGTTCACTTGCGTGCCTAGGGATCGCAACGCCTCCGCCACCAGAACTACGATTCCCAGCATTCCTGACGGTCCACGCGCTTCCCGCTTCCGCTTCCGGTCCAGGGGCCGCCGAAACCGAAAGTGCGGTGTTTTTAGGCGCCCCACTGAGATTGATTCACCTTCACCTGTGCGAGCCCTAGTTGACCAGGTAGGAAACCAGACAGGCAGTAAAATATGAACGGAAGAGTGGATTGTTTGGTCACTGAGGAAGAGGAAGAGATCAATCTTACCCGAGGACCCTCAGGTACGTGCGGAATTGGGCATCTTTGGGAACAGGGTCCTTTAAGTGTGATTGCAAAGCAGACACCTCTTCTTCTGAGCCAGATATTTTTGGACTCAGAGCTGGCAGGCCCCAATCTAGAGGTTTCCTGCCACGCTTTTGAGCATGTAGTAGTCCATCGTTAGCCAGACAAGGACCTGAGGAATCCGTCTCTCTCTCTTTTTTTTTTTTTTGAGTTGGATTACCTATTGTAGTCAGGACAGGTTTCTTTCTGCTAATGGTACCAGAAAATCCTGGGAGAAAGCCTGCTTTTTAACCAGCACACAGTGAACAAGACACCCCGCCTCCCATTGCCTGATCTATACCTGTTCCTATGAGAGACGTTAATAAACATGGAAGTACAAACGGTGTAGACACCGTTTCTTGGTGCTAGTATATCGCTCCCTTCTTCCTTTCGCTTCTGGGAAAGTCTCTTCGTGTCAACTTGAATTTTAAAGCAGAAAGAGACATATTACAAAAGTTCCCAAACCTGGTTCTGCCTCAAAATTAACCAGTGTTTTTGCTTAAAAAAAAAAAAAAAAGTTAATTATTAGGTCCCGTCTCTTGGAAGTTGGATTCAAAGCAGGTATTTTATCATTTGGGTTCGTGTGTGTGTGTGTTTGTGTGTGTGTGTGTGTGTGTGTGTGTGTGTGTTTAAACAAGCACATCATGGTTCTGGGGTGCCAACAATTTTCTTGACATGGATAATGGTTCCCTGATTCTGATACCGCCCAAATCTTCATTTACCAACAGTCCTCTTCCCCCTGATGCTCTTCACTCACTGGGCTGTTACCAATACTGCACGCTGCCTGCCTCGAATTTTGTTGCCTTTCCCTTGCACCTGTCTAGTGTATGGATTCAGAGCTTTAGCTGTGGGATTATGTAGGTCTAAATCTGGCACCTGATATCCTATTAGTTCTTTGATATTTATTCTCTGACCCATTTGACTGATGTAAGCCTTAGTTTCTCCCCTGTAAAATTGCCTAATAGAATACACTTTATAGGGTTATGAGAATGAAATAAATTAAACTGTAATGCCTTTAGGACATTTCCTACCACATGGTTAGCACTAAGTATCTGCTATTACTGTTGTTATTGTTAATAGATGAATGGCGAGATTAACACAGTAAATCCCACTAAATACTGTTATTCCAAGAGTCTCCAATAGTCATTAAGTACCAGCAGCTCCATCTCTGAAATGTTTTTGTGAGCCTTCCACTCTTTTCTGTTCCCATCACCACTACCTAGAACAGTCCATAATCTTTTCTCACATGGAATTTTATAATAGCCTGACCACCATTTGTAAATTATTCCCCATAAAATATGGCTTTCAGAATCATTCATACTATGCCTTCTTTCTTGTTATAAAAAATTGGAAGGTGACTTTACTTATCAGAATATAACTTGTGGCTAATCTGCATGGTTTAGTGTCATGTACCATATGAGCTCCTAAACCTTTATCAAAGGCTCTTATGCCCTAGTTTCCTGTTTTATGTAAATATCTCCTTTCACCTTCAATATTTCTTGACTTTAAAGCTAACAGAAAATTATTAAACCAAAATCTGTCTTTCTGGTTTTTTTTTTTTTTTTTTTAAAAATAATGTTTCTATTGTCTTGAGAGAGAGGAAGGAGGAGAGAGAGAGAGAGAGAGAGAGAGAGAGAGAGAGAGAGAAATATCTATCGCCTGCCTCCTACTTGCCCCCCTACTGGGGACTGAGCCTGAATCCTGGGCATGTTCCCTGACTGGGAAATCAAACCAGCAACCTCCTGATGTATGGGACGCTCAACCAAGTGAGCCAAAGTGGCAGGGCTGTTTTTATGTTTTTCATCCATCGATACTTGTTCTTCTCATAGGGCCCATTAAAACATTGGTGGTTCCTTTTCTGATTGCCCTGTAAATATTTAAAGGCATCTAGTTGTTCTGCTTCTGTTTTGTCTCTTCCTGCTATAGCCTACTTTTGATCTCTTGTGATGTGGTTTGAGGTTTTATTCTTGTCTCTTAGGAATTTAACATACTTTGACATAGTCCTTTGGCTGTAGCATCCAACAATATTTTCAGGATCTCCTTATTAGAGGAGAGCAGAACTCTGATATTATCTTACATGTTCTAGTCACTAAATATTTTTAAAGTTCAATATAGTATCACTATCTTTTTTTGATATTTGCCTAACAGTGTTGCTTGATGTTTAGCTCACATTCACTAAAATTTTGTGTTGATCTTACAGATGTTAGCATCTTTTTTCTGAATCATTGCAGTTAGAACAAACTTCAAGGGACTAATTAAGAAGAAGAATTATATCTAGCTAATATATTTCACCCAAAAGTGGTTTAATTTCTATACTATATATGTATTTATTCACCTGGTGGCTTCTTTAAGTAGGTTCACATCATACTCATATAAGTTGATAGACAAGAGAGTATTGTCACAAATTTTGGATTGAACTTAGATTAAAACAGTCATTGGAAGTTTTGGTGGTTCAGTTAATAAGAAAAGGTATCATATTTCTGTTATTACCTCCCAGAGTTCCTTACCTGGTATGTGGTATTCCTAAGAAGACTCACAGTCTAATTCAGCTTTTTTTCTTCTTCACTGTATCAGCATGCAGATACACAAGGAAGAAGTCAGTTATCACCACTGGAAACTTCCAGTGATTTTGGTAGTCCCCAAATAGGGATCTTTCTTTCTATAGAAGAATTAGGAGAAGTCTCTAGTTCTCAGTATGCATTTCTCTTTGTGGACAGTATTGTCACTCTTTGTCTGGGTACAACTTCCTACGGCAGGAACTTGATAATTTAATCAGGTAACTGCAAGAACGTATATATCTTTGCTTTTTTTGGTGCCAGTGTTCTGTCAGGGACAAAAGTTGTGGATATTTCCAGTTTGGGGTCCATTTTGCAAGGCAGATGAACTGTTGTGTCTGATCTTGGTTACTTTAAAGGAAATAATGAAATCTTAGGAAAATTCAAACAATGAGGCATCTGGGGAGGCAAAAAGAAGCCTGGCATGCAGTTTGGCTTCTCTCCTATACCAACTTCCTCAACTGTGTAAGGAGAGGCTTAGGTCAGGTGACTTTGCACATTTTTCCACTTCCAAGAGTTCAGGATTCTTTGGTCCATTTCACATCGTATTTTATGATTCCTGCCATTTTGGACTAATAGTAGGTGCTTGAAGAATTGTCAAAGGCAGTGGTCACAATCTCAAATGTCTTCAAGGGTTTGAAGAGTTTACCTTTTATGCTTTCTGGAACACTATCAGTTTTCTTTCTATGGGAGTCCAGCTTGATTAATTAAGTCTTTAAACCTCCTACTTTTTCCTTTATCAAATTGAGAGTTCTTAATGTTGGAAAGACTCTGTTACTCTAAGAAGTATGACCAGAATCTAATCCTGCTTCTCCACCCCCCAACCTCCCCACTGAAACAGGTAGAGATTGGTCATAAAGACAACCTATTGTACATTGGGTATTAGAATTAGGACTCCTTGTTCAGGACTGAGTTTCAATGGGCTTAGCAAGTTGCTCCTGATAGATCTTTAAAAAGTGGGGAAAGATCTCTCTTTCTCTACTCTCTTAAAAGGAGTTGCAGGGATAAATGGGTTGGCATAATGTTTTAATACTGAATAATTAAGCAGATATCTTTTTGGTACTGTGCTAGTTACTTTATATATGTATTAATTCATTTAATTTTATGTATTAATTTATTTAATTTACCACTCAGCAACACTGAGTGGTAAGTGAATAATCCACATTAAGGGTAAGTGATTATTCCACATTAAGGATTTGCCCAAGTTCTAAAGCCAGTGAGTTTCAAGAGCCAGGAATTTAACCCAGATCTCTTGATTCTACTGTTTCAAATGCTACATCCCAGTAGAGTAGCCATGTTTAGGGAGTTGACTCCGATCATTCTCCTGACCTTTATTTTATAATATCATGCCTTATTCCCAAAGGATTTGAGGCATCTTAAATGACTTACACAATTCACAGTGGAAAGTTTTTATAGTTTGCTGTTGATAGAGCCAGGGCATGTCAAGGTGAGAACCTAAAAACAAGAAAACTCATTAAGTCCAGGCATTTAAGCCTCTACAAACCTCTCATGTGCTTTCTGTTTAACCTGAGACAGATGCTCACAGTTTTTTGATCTATTCCTTCATGTACCAAATAGATCTGAGACTGAAATGCTATATCCTTGCTCTATTTTCTCTTGATTACATGAAGTCTAGCCCTTATGGAAATTATGTAATTGGCATTCTCATGTAAAAAGTTAAATCTCTGTGCAAAGGTGCAGATGGTTACGGATTATTACCTGCATATACGTAATAGGAGGGTAAAGGAAGTATATAGGGGAATGTGTTCATCTGATCCTGTGATGGAAAGGTTCAAAGAATGGAGACACAAAGGAGAGTTAAGGGAGATGAGGTTGTTAAGATTGGTAGAGAATGGATTATTAAAAGTTCTCCGTGTTACTGTGGAAACTTAACCTTTCTTTTTTGTTGTTGTTAATTCTCACTGGAGGATATTTGTTCCATTGATTTTTAGAGAGTGAAAGGGAGGGGGGAAAGAGAGACAGGAGAGAGAGAGAGAGAGAGAGAGAGAGAGAGAGATTGGCTGCCTCCTACACGCTACCCCAGCTGGTGGGGCCCGGAATCAGACCTGCAATCCTTTGTTGCGCAGGCCAACTCTCTAACCACTGAGCACACTGGCCAGAGTGAAACTTATCCTTTCTTTAAGGCTCTATCTTGATTCCTTCCCCTTTCTATTTAGTGGTTAAAACTGAATTCAAGAGTCACCACCTTCAGGAAGCTTTTTTGACCCAGGCTAGATATCTCTCTGATTAAGACTATCAGCCTGGCCGGTGTGGCTCAGTGGCTGAGCATGGACCCAATTAGCAGGAGGAAGCTGATCAGTGTTTCTCTCTCATCATTGATGTTTCTATTTCTCCTTTTCCCTTCCTCTCTGAAATTATGTGGCTAGGCAGCAGAGTAACCAATT